ATGGTCTTCAAGTCTTCAGGGAGCTTGGCTCCAATCTTCAAGACTCTCTTCAGCTTGGCCGGATCGAGTACAAAGTCTTCAGTGTCTTCGGCCGGCTCAGTCCTCGGCCTGCCTTCCTCCTCATCCAAGGCGGCGGTGATTGTGTCAATGCGAAGTTCAGTTTTACATACCTTTTGGCGAGTTGAAGATAGCAAGCCCTAGAGAGCTTTTTATTCCCCCTGGAGTAGCCGACGCCGATAGGTGTGGGGAATTTGAGGTAGAGGTGCCTCATAGAGATGACGACTTCCAAGTCCTCGAGGGCAGGCCGACCGAGGATGATGTTATGTGCGTAGTCGATATTGACAACGACGAATTCCACTTCGAGCTTGGCTATTTGGGATCCGTCGCCGAACTCAACCATAAGGGTGATAATGCCTTCGACATCGATGCTGTCCCCGGTGAAACCGGAGAGGGGGTCTTGATATACCGAAGGGATCTCATATCAAGTTCAAGCTCTCGGAAGGTGTTGAGATATATCACGTTGACGGAGCTTCCGGTATTAACATAGGTCCGGAGGATGATGGCGTCATTGATTTCCGTACGGATGACGAGGGCATCCCTGTGAGGAAGGGCACTCGGGGGCAGATCCACATCTGTGAAATAGATGGGGTCCACCCTCGGCCTTTTGGTTGGGGGTATATGGTTGACTTCCCCAACGTAGAGAGATTGAGCTCACTTCTTCCTTTGGCTCGTGGAGTCGCCTCCGGTGTTGCCGCCAGTGATCTTGTGGATGTGGCGCTTCTTCTCCTGGTACTGGCTGTACTCTTCCTCCTCATCGAGGTTCCCATTCTCCCTTTTCTTACCCTACGGGTCGCCGAGGGGGATGGTGTTTGGGTTGACCCAAGCATTCGCTTTCTTACGGGGCCCCTGGTAGTGAGGGGTTCCCTGGGGAGGAGGGCCTCGGGTGAACTGAGATAGATGGCCCGCCTGTATCAACCTCTCAATGGCCGTCTTCAGCTGATGACAGTCGTCGGTCATGTGCCCTTGGTTGCGATGGAACCGACAGTAAGGATAATTGGTGTTGACGGCATATACCTCCAGGGGTGCGCGAGAGTCGCGCTCCACTAGGCCCCTCTCCTCGGTGAAGTCTAGGATGACACTGACGGGGTGTGTCAAGGGCGTCCGAGGGTGCTCCAATAGAATGGACTGGGCCCGAGCCTTCGGGTTGCCCTTGTAACCTCCCCCGGGCTTGGCTTGGCCATGCCGGGGGCAATCACCGGGGGACGCTGAGCTTTTGGATTGATGTGGGGGAGCCCCCGGCCCCCGGTTGCCCTTGTCATCTGGCCGAGGCCGTTGCTGATCGGGGTTGTGATGGCATTTTTCCACCTCCTCGGCCTCAGCGTACCGGTCCCCCCGTTGTAGGGCCCTTATGTAATCACGAGGAGATTCGATGAAGAGGCTCCTTGACAAGTTCCCGGGGCGGAGGACTGTTTGAAGGAGAGCAAGGACAGTCCCATCGTCGGCGCCGTCAACTTTATCAGCCTCCGTTCTCCAGCGTTCCAAGAAGTCCCGAAGGGTCTCCTCTTTCCTTTGTCTCAACGACAGCAAGTGGGAGAAGTGTTTTCTTGACCGGCGCCTCCCTGCAAACTGCGTCAAGAAGCATTGGGCGAGTTCCTGCCATGAATCGATGCAGCCTTCGGGCAGTCGGTTGAACCATTCGTATGCTGGTCCCTCTAAGGTGGAGAGGAACCAACGGCACAAATATTCGTTCGATGCCCCCACCATCATCATACTGTTCTGATATCTGCTATAATGCTCCTGGGGATCTGTTTTTCCTTCATAGGGCCTGATGGGTTGTCCCCGGTATTTTTCCGGAATTCGGGCTGCCAATACCCTTAGGTTAAATGGCGTCCTAGTCCGGAGTTGGATGGCGGGATCCCCGGAGCCCTCAACTATTCTCTTTTGCATCTCCTCCATTTTGGCCATCATGGCCTCATATTTGGGATCTGCATGAGGGGTGGCGACGGTGGTATGTGCTCGACGGGCCTCCATTTCATCAAGCCAGTGTTGGAGGGACGCAATAATCTCGTCCCTGTGATCCTTCGGGAGGGCCTCCGCCCCCTGCGAACGAACACGGGCCGAGTGGGCCTGGTTGATTTGATGCCTTGCGTCATCGGCATGAAGTGGTGCCTTGCCTTTGTCCTGATGGGGATGCCACTCGTCTTCCCTTGAGACGGATCCCCCGCTCTCTTGGGGTCTTTGGGACGCCTTTCCACCGAGGCGGTCGTGGACCCCTCGGCGGTCTTGCGCTCATCTGAGCCTATCGAGGGCAGAGGTTCGAGGCCTTTCTTTGTTCGCACAACGTTGGTCCCGGAATTGGTCTTCCTGAGAGGCGGTGTCTTGAGCTACGACCCCTTCGTCGTTCCCCACCCGAGGGGTAGGGTTCACGAAGAGGGGTGGACGTGGGAGAAGAACAGTGTTCTCCCCGATTTGCGGTTGAAGGGGCACCAGAGTGCCGAAGGCACCTGGGTTTTGAGTGCGTGTTTGGATGAAGGCAGAGAATGCCGGCTGTACGTCGATAGTGAGAACCGGAGGGCTCACTTGATTTTCGCTCTGGTCCCTCCTTCAGGTTTCGATGCCAAGGCGGGCATCGGGAGCGTTTTGCTGAAGCTGAAAGCGCGGGTCAACAGCAGCCTGTTCCAGCTCAGTGATGACCCCGCCCTCGGGATCCTTGTTAGAGGCTCCGGGGGCGTTGACTTCACCGAGGGTCAGGTTGTTGTCCTCAAGGTTCTTGGATAAAGCACGGGTGGTTCTTCCCATTTTGGTAGGTGTTTTGAGTTGAAGGGGAGGGTTTCTTACTTGATTGTTCGACCTCTCAACGAGAGCACCAAATGATGGATAGTGTACCCGGGTGTAGCTTATCCGAGGGGTTACTGTGGGGAGTAACTTAGAGAGAAGTCAGAGCGAATAAGAAGAAAGATAAAGAGTTCAAATGTATATTCGAATTGTGTTGAGCGTGGTTTACAAATGGGGAAAGGGGTGCTATTTATAGAAGTAATAAATGCTAGATAAGGACATGTGGTTGCATTCTGGTGGTCGAGGGGTCACCTCAACCGGGGTGGCACTGGCACTCGCATGTGGCCGCATTAAATGCGGTGGTTGGACGCGACGTTTGTACTTGGTGCGTTGATGCAGCACATGTGGAGAGGAGATCCTGTCGAGGAAGATGCCTTCGGCTGTAGGTGATAGCCCGAAGGCTCTGCGTATCGGGTACCTCACGTTGCTGAGGGCTCTGAATGCTGAAGGCTACTGATTTCGCCGTGTTCTCCCAGTGGCTCCGTATGCGTAAACCAGATGTTCTGTGAGAATTTGGAGCCTTCGGCCAAGGGGCCAAAAGCGGCTGTATGGGAACCGTTGGCTTCCCGTTACTCGGGGCGCTGTGACCTAGGCCTGTCATGCTTCCTAGGCTTGTTGGGCCGTTTTTATGGTAATAGGAGTCTATGGGCCGGGGGTCCCTGGACCATATACTCCATCAAGCAGCTTCTGCCAGGTGCTCCTCTTCCTCTAACAGGATGGTTTGAAGTTCGGCCAACGGGAGAGCTGTTTCACGAATGCGGATAGCTGACCATAATTCACCATACTCAGGTCCTAGACCATTAAGAATATAAACAACGAGATCCTCTTCAGGAATGGGATTCTGAGCAAGAGCTAGGGCATCAGAAAGTGCCGTCATTTCGGCCAAATAGGCAAGAATAGATCGCTCACCCTTTTTAGTTTTGGTCAAGGTTGATTTTAGCGATATGATGCGCCCGCGGGACGTACTAGCATAGGTTAGGGCTAGTTTATCCCATGCATGATGTGCAGTAGGGATTGATGAAAGAATAGGTTGAATTGTTTCGGAGCAGCTTCCAAGGAGATCACTCAGGATGACTTTATCCTAACGGTACCAAATAGTATAACAGGGGTTAACCTGAGATTTAGCAGTGTCCAGAAAGTGCTCAGGAGCAGAAATAGTACCATCAACGTAGCCTTCAAGTCCCAAGCCGACAAGAGCAGCGTGAACTTGGCATTTCCAAACAGGAAAGTTGGAAGAAGTGAGTTTGATCGGAAAATTGGTGGTGGCAGTGAGTTGAATCACCGAGGTGGTGGCAGTGATGGCCATCGGGAAAAAAATATTATGCTCGTATGAGGCTGGCTCTTGATACCATATTAAGACTTGGGGTTCCATCCTAAAAGGTCAACCTTATAGGAGGAGTACACCAAAGCCTTATATAGTGGTTTATTGTTTTATAGCTTTCCGGTGTGGGACAAATACTCTAACACGTCTCCTCAGCCCGGACCGGGCTGGATAATATCGGGGTGTATAAATGGGCCAAATAGACCCTTAACAAGCTACCCGTAATCATATGTGCTAAACAAGATGTCAAACCACAACCAGAATTGGTTCTAATACCATGTAAAGTATGAATAAATGAGATATATTCTTATGTATAATACGATGTACATGGCTGTGTATTTATACACACGTATGAGCTAATGTGATAACGATGGTGATAGCTACAACTATAAGCTAGAGTATGTAACCGTACAACCGTATAGCTAAAGTTATGTACATGATAATAACAATATTAATTATTATGCTTTAATAGCATATTCCCCAATGTGACTTCACTTTTCTTAGAAAATGTCTTGTTTGATGATAGTAAATGTTGCGCTGCTGAACTTCCTATGCTCAGAAATCTAACCTGTGATATTGTTTCTGGTTTTATCTTTACTGCCCCAAAGCTTAGAAGTTTGAAATTTAGCGGTCGTCATTATTCTAGCATTTCTAGAAGAAACGATTCTCTCATCCTTATAGTAAAGTTAGACTTAAGAACTATACACTCTCTCCATCTTGAAAGTATTAACCTTGAGGTATATAAATATATAATACATGCTTTTATTTCATTGTTACTTGTAGATTACTATTCGTTTATGTTCTGAAAATGATGTTTCAACTTTCATGTTATTTTTATTTCAAGTGGTTTCTTGAAGAAGTATCTAGGGTGGGACGAGAACAAACTACACTTAATGTGAAACACTTACAGCTAGCCTTGTTCTATAACCCGCGTTTGGATAACATATCAGCTTGCTTTCACTTGTTGTAGATGTGCCCAAAGTTAACCAACTTTGACATACATTTAAGGGTAATTATCCTCTCTTTTGTGGATAACTATTTCTCAAGTTTTTATTTTGCATTTTTCAATGCACTCTTGATCTTTGAATGTTAAATTGAAGTTTTTTTCGGTGCAGTTTTCCTTAGTTCGGGTCATTTGCAAGGGCAGGACTATTGGAGGATTTGGAGCTCCCTAAGCATACTATTACGCATGAGTTACGTTTATTATTATTAGTAACTATTTCCTTAGAGAAATATTGTGTAATTAAGTAGGTTATTTCCTACTAGGATTCTTTCCTAGTTTTCTTGGCAATTTAGCCGACCTAGGCTTCTATATGTACGTGTGCTACGCATGAACTTGGAATGACAGATCTCAATACAATATTCTGGTTCCTTTATTGTTCATCGATTACCAACCGTGATATGGTATCAGAGCCCCAAAACTGAAGCATGGCAATAGGCGATGAAGAAGAAAATGCTGACGGTCAGAATCGGGGCCGGCAGGACCATACATTGCCGTTCTTTCTCGAACCGCAAGATCGTCTGGGTGATTTTATCACCCCAGTACGGCTGAATGGAAACAATTACGATGAGTGGGCAAACGCTATTCGTTTGGCGTTGAGAGCACAAAGAAAGTACGTCTTTGTTGACGGAACAATTCAAAAATCAACTCCTCCATGGACGGAAGATGACTGGTTGACAGTCCAGTCTATGTTGGTGTCTTGGCTGCTCAATACGATCTCTATAGACGTTAAACAAACTCTATCCACATACGAGAATGCACGAGAATTATGGAAAGATCTTAAAGAGCGATACTCTGCTGTGGATGGACCCAAAATACACCAAGTCAAGACTGATCTTGCGCGGTGTTCTCAAGACAGAGGGATGACAGTGGGATGAGTTGAAAATCTATTGGGGTGAGTTGAATAACTACGAGCCTATAATTGAGTGCAAGTGTGGGGGGCTGTAAATGCGACGTCGCAAAACAAAATGAAAAACGGAGAGAATCTGAACGTTTCCATCAATTCTTGATGGGTTTGAACACAGATTTCTTCGGCCAAATACGTTCCCAGCTTCTCACTCAGGTTCCGCTACAGACGCTGAACCGGGCGTACCAACAGACCACTCAAGAGGAAAGGGTTCATGGGATGACTGTGAATTCCGATATCCCTGATGTGATGGGATTTGCTGTCAAGACTGAAGGACGAGGGGCTGGTCCCGGAACTAAACCTGACAAAGCAGGTCTGGTATGTACTTACTATAAGTACACTGGGCATGACGTTACAAGTTGTTTTGAACTCAAAGGATACCCCGACTGGTCGGGTGACCATCCAAAGGCCGGAAAAATATCAGCTGGACGCGGCAAGGGTATTGCTAAGGATACTGGACGTGTGAAACCAGTTCGCGCACATGCTAGAGTTGCTGAAACTAGTGGCAACTCAGCTACTTCTGCTGGGGAGAAAGCAACTGCCGGGGAACCTACGCCTCTGCCGGGTTTTTCATCAGAAAATGGAAGGCCTTGATTACGGCTTTGGGTAATCCCTAATCCTCTAATAGCCGCATGACTGGTAAGTCCAATCTTACTACTTGGATTATTGATACAGGAGCAACAAATCATATATGTAGTGATCAGACGAAATTATTTGATCTTGAACCAATAACACCGTGTTCCGTGGGTTTACCTGATGGTCAAACTGTTTTGGCCACCGAGGAAGGTTGTGTTAAATTTACAGGAGGATTGTTCCTGACGCATGTGTTGCATGTGCCTCATATGAATTGCAACTTGATATCTGTGACTCAATTGAGTGATGAACTAGATTGTTTTGTTCAATTCACCTCTAATCTATGTGTTATACAGGATCGAGTCTCGAGGAAGCTGATTGGAGTGGATGAGAGGAGGAATGGATTGTACTTTCTTCGAGAAACCATGGCGGCACAAGCTTTGACTGTTGCTGGGAGGAATCAGTTTTTATTTTATAATTGGCATAAACGTATGGGACACCCCTCTGAAAAGGTGATGAATAAACTCGCTCATATGAGTGAATTAAAAGGATTATTTACTTCACTTTGTGATATTTGTTTCCGTGCTAAACAAAATAGGGATTCTTTTCCCGATAGTGAAAATAAAACACGGAGTATTTTTGAATTAGTGCATTGTGATTTGTGGGGACCATATAATACTTCTTCCTCATGTGGTGCTAAATTATTTCTGACAATTGTGGATGATTTTTCTCGGGCTGTGTGGATATATCTATTGAAACATAAAAGAGAGGTTTTCACCATGTTTATGTCTTTCATAGCTATGGTGGAAAGACAATTTTCAAAAAAGGTGTCTATAGTCAGGAGTGATAATGGAACAGAATTCAATTGTTTGAAATATTTTTTTCGTGCTAGCGGAATTATTTTTCAAACTTCTTGTGTAGCCACACCTCAGCAGAATGGGTGTGTTGAACGTAAACATCAACACATCCTGAATATAGCTCGTGCATTGCGTTTTCAAGGTCACCTTCCAATCATCTTTTGGGGGGAGTGTGTTTTAACTGCTGCTCATCTTATTAATCGCACTCCTTCTTCTGTGCTTGCATTTAAAACTTCTTATGAAATTCTGTTTGGCTCCCCACCAAGTTACCAATCATTGCGCACTTTTGGTTGTCTTTCTTATGCTTATAACATCAGATCCAGGGGTGATAAATTTGCTAGAAGGAGTCGTAAATGTATTTTTGTTGGATATGTTTACGGAAAAAAGGGGTGGCATGTATATGATTTGGATACTTGTGAGTATTTTGTATCCCGGGATGTCAAGTTCTTCGAAAATATATTTCCTTTTACTAATCCCCCCTGAATCCACCCATGGAAGATCTAGACAATATGGCATCTACGGATGACTTTGTTGGCTTATATGACGAACCAAATGGTGCTTCACATCAGTTGTCAGACAACACTCCTCCTGCGGTTCCTTCTGTGACCGAGCAGCCATCTCCAGATCAATCTGTACCGGACTCACTGGTAGTGGATCATAATGAGGCGCATGAAGTTGTTTTGGGTCGGGGTCAGCGGGTTAAGCATCCATTTGTTCGTCTAAAGATTTTGTCACTCACACGGTGGTTACACACAATCCCATTCCATCTCACTCCACTCCCGATGCTTCCTCAGGTACTCCATTCCCTATTTCACACTATGTTAGTTGTGATAAATTTTCTATGTCCCACCGGGTGTTTCTTGCAGCTATTACATCCACGAATGAGCCACAGTCTTACCGTGAGGCTGTTACTGACGCTGGCTGGCGTGAGGCTATGCGTGCTGAAATCCAGGCACTTGAAAAAAATTCCACATGGACGTTGGTTACTCTTCCTCCTGAAAAACGAGCTTTGGGGTGCCGTTGGGTCTATAAAATCAAATATAAATCTGACGGTAGCATAGAATGGCTCAAAGCTCGCCTTGTTATCTTTGGAAACCGGCAGGTGGCAGGACTTGATTACACTGAAACTTTTGCTCCTGGTGGGGGGAGTGATAATGGAACAGAATTCAATTGTTTGAAAGATTTTTTTCGTGCTAGCAGAATTATTTTTCAAACTTCTTGTGTAGCCACACCTCAGCAGAATGGGCGTGTTGAACGTAAACATCAACACATCCTGAATATAGCTCGTGCATTGCGTTTTCAATGTCACCTTCCAATCATCTTTTGGGGGGAGTGTGTTTTAACTGCTGCTCATCTTATTAATCGCACTCCTTCTTCTGTGCTTGCATTTAAGACTCCTTATGAAATTATGTTTGGCTCCCCACCAAGTTACCAATCATTGCGCACTTTTGGTTATCTTTCTTATGCTTATAACATCAGATCCAGGGGTGATAAATTTGCTAGCAGGAGTCGGTTCGTTGCCAAAATGGTGACGGTTCGTGCTTTTCTAGCCGTTGCTGCCTGTAAGAATTGGGAACTGTACCAAATGGACGTTCACAATGCCTTTCTACATGGCGACCTTCAGAAAGAGGTGTACATGACCTTACCTTCTGGCTATACTACCCAAGATTCTACTCTGGTATGTCGTCTTCATAAGTCCTTGTATGGTCTGAAACAGGCACCCCGGTGTTCGTTCGCTACGCTTGTGGGCGCTTTGAAAGGTTATGGATTCATTCAATCTTTTGCTGATTATTCTCTATTTACTCGTACTCGAGGCACCATTCAGTTGAATGTCCTCATTTATGTGGATGATCTTATTATTTCTGGCAATAATTCTGATGCAATTGCTTTGTTCAAAAAATACTTGAATGAGTGCTTTCACATGAAAGATTTGGGGAAATTAAAATTCCTTCTTGGTATTGAAGTTGCACGCAGTTCTTCCGGTCTTTTTCTTACTCAACGCAAATATGCCTTAGACATTATTTCTGAGGTCGGATTACTTGGTGCTAAACCGGCAGCATTCCCCATTGAACAGAACGCTGCACTTCGGGTCTCTTGCTCAGGCTACGGGACCCATCCTCTCGGATCCAGACAAGTATCGTCGCCTCTTGAGCCGTCTTATCTATCTGGAAGTTACAATACATGACCTTGCTTATGCGGTACATATATTATCTCAATTCATGTAGGCTCCGTGCCTTGAACACTGGAACGCTGCACTTCGGGTCGTCCGCTATCTTAAAGGATCGCCTGGTCAGGGCATTCTTCTTCGTGTGGATGGTGATCTCACACTCGTTGGTTGGTGTGACTCTGATTGGGCTGCTTGTCCTATTACTCGTAAATCTCTCTCGGGCTGGTTGGTCTTCCTTGGCCATTCTCCCGTTTCATGGAAAACTAAAAAACAAACTATTGTGGCACGCTCTTCTGCTGAAGCTGAATATCGCTCCATGGCCGCCGCTACTTGTTAATTAAAGTGGCTTAAAGCTTTGCTTCTCAGTTTGGGTATTCATCACTCTATTGTGACAGTCAGTCTGCACTTCATATTGCCCGTAATCCGGTTTTGCATGAACGAACTAAGCATATTGAAGTTGATTGCCACTTTGTTCGCAATGCTATCCAGGACAACCTAATTTCCCCTAGCTATGTTCCTACTACTATTCAGCTTGCTGACATTTTCACTAAGGCTTTGGGCAAGACTCACTTTCACTTTCTCTTGCGCAAGTTGGACATTATTGATCCCCAAGCTCCAACTTGAGGGGGGTATTGCGCATGAGTTACGTTTATTATTATTATTAATAACTATTTCCTTAGAGAAATATTGTGTAATTAAGTAGGTTATTTCCTACTAGGATTCTTTCCTAGTTTTCTTGGCAGTTTAGCCGACCTAGGCTTCTATATGTACGTGTGCTACGCATGAACTTGGAATTGACATATCTCAATACAATATTCTGGTTCCTTTATTGTTCAGCGATTACCAACTGTGATACATACTTTGGCTCAAACATTCAATTCAATTCGGCCTTTAAGTATTGTTTGTTGATTTGAAGGGTCAAGACTTGAAATGCTATTCCTCAAATGGCTACTAAGTCGCTTTCCGGCACTTGAGAAGGTTGTGTTTTTCCACATAATTTGTACCGGGGCTACAATCTGTCTGAAAATATGGAGACACTTAAATATGCCATTTAAATTATGTATCTTTTTAATGATAACTATTATTTTTTCATTTTAAATAATTAAAATTGTTAGTGAGGTTGTTAATTAATTAACAATATATTTAACTTCAAATGTTAGTGATGTTATAATTTATTGTGAATATATTTGAAATTCGTATGGAAATGTATACTATCGTATTATTTTTGCAATTATTGGTAATACCGTTAATTTAGGATTTCAATTTATAATATTAGTTAAATTTAAATATTAGTTAATTCAAATGAGTTTATAAAAAATATTAGGTTTGTTTATGCCTTTTAGTCAAAAACCTTTTAGAGTTTTAAGTAATAATAATAGTAAATCAATTAAAATGTGTTTCACATTTTTAGTTAATTAAAATGTTTATTTGAAATTCATTTAGAAATATATACTAAATTTTAGCAATTATTGCTAATACCTATAATTTAGGATTTATAATGATTTAAGTTAGAATTTAAACATTAGTTTGGATTTTGTTTACCTTATAATGCAACCATTCCATTCTTCAAATGGAAATGAAAGTACTCTTGAATAATCAACTAAAACATTTGAACAAAAAAATATTTTCAATTAGTCTTGTTTGATTACATAAACTGCAAGCAACAAAGTGCTCTTTAGTACACATCACAAGAAGCACACAACAACTTTTCACAAATGAAGGGTACAATTACAAAAAAAAAAATGCATATTACAACCACACTTCTACCTTTCCTTCTTTAGTCTTCTTCTCAAATGGAATTATCAATGTTAGTGTCATATTACCACCTTCGGCCATTTTAGCTTGTGCAAACATTTGTATAAGTTCACAAACATCACCTTTCACCTTTGCATCTCCATTTCCTTCACCTTCTACACTTAGACATCCCCTTCCATGATTGCTACTTTCACTTAATTTCCATTCAAAGTAATTGCATTGTGTGCAATTGTAGAACAATGTGCCTTTATTCTTCCCAACCTTTGTTGTAACCAAACATCTTTGATTACCAATTGAACAAGCAGAGAATTTTTTCTTGTTGCGACATTCATTATGAAAATGTTTTGAACTCCTGCAACTATGGCATATACCATAATCTGTCAACATATTTGTCCGGAAAAATTAATCAAACCACAAAGATCATACCATCCACTCAATCCTAGACATTTGGTTCATTTTTTGAATAAACAAAAGAAGAACGACGACACAGAAGAACGATGAAGGGAAGAACGAAATATGTGTACGCATCTGAAGACGAAGAACAGACGAAGGAAGAGAGCTCTTCAAAACTCCAAACGACTGAAGAACGAACGAAGGAAGAGAGCTTTTGATTCAGAGCGAAGGAAGAACGGTTGAAGAGCTTTTCATTCCCAAGCTACAGACGAAGTTTGGTTTTTATTTGATTCAGGACTTTAAAAGTAAAAGGATGAGAAATGGCATGTGTAACCCTGAAAAATTGGAGAGACAGATGGCGTTTGTAATATTCTCTATGTATAACGCCAGGGTGACATTTATAGTTATTCTGACATTTAAAAAAGCTGAAACAAAGATCTGAAATTTCAATATGGTGGATAATTGAGGGACAAAATGTGCGATTTCTCCTAATAAAATTAATAATATAAGACGCACAAATCATTGTCCCGTATTTTAAACAAACAAATACTACCTCCATCCCATATTGTAAGATGTTATGGGTTTAGTTCAGGTTTTAAGGAAACAAAAGATAAAATGATTGTTTTGCAATTAGGGGTGGACCCGGGCCGGTCCGGTTCCAGACCCGAGCAGGCTTTTTTTTTCAAATTGTTGGGCCCAGAACCGGCCCGGGTTGATACCGGGTCAAGGTAAATTTTTTTTACTTTCTAATTAACCCCCGACCCCCGACCCCCGACCCCCTCACCCCCACCCCTCAACCCCCCCCCCCCCAAAAAAACACCCAGCCCTAACCAAGAAAAACAAAAAAATTGAAAAAACCAAAAAAAATATAAAAAAAAGCCCGAGCCCGACCCGAACTACCCGGGCTGGTTCAACAAATATAGGGCCCGAGCCTAGGGATGGACTGAACCGAGCCGAGCCGACCCGGAACCAGCTCGACTCAGAACTGGCCTGGCCCGCTACTGTGCGGGCCCGAACCGGTTGGCCGGTTCCGAGCTTTTAGCCCGTTTGGGCAGGTCGGGCGGGCCGGGCTCGTGCTCAGGTTTGGGCGAACCGGGCCAAGCGATTCGGGCCGGGTCCAGGTCAATTTTTTTTTTCAATTTTTTTCTTTTCCTATGGTAGGGCTGGGTGTTTTGGGGAGGTTTGGGGGGTGGGGGGATCAGGGGATAACAAGAAAGCAAAAAAAATAGACATTGAACCAGGCCCGGCCCGGCCCAGCCCGGTTAGACCCGGACCCGGTATCAACCCAGGCCGATTCCGGGCCAAAGGATTTGCAAAAAAACCAGCCCGGGCCCAGCCCGGAACCGGAACCGGACCGGGTCCATCCCTACCCGAGCCCGGCCTGCCAAACCCTCCCTTACCGGGTAAAAGCCCGAGCCCGGTTAGCACCAACCAGGCCGGTCCAGGCCCGCACAATGGCGGGCCGGGCCAGTTCCAGGTCGGGCCGAACCGGTTGGGTCCACCCCTATTTGCAATTCTAATATCCAAAAAGAAAGAAAAATGAATCCACGGAAAGTAAAAAGTGAAGTGATAGATAAAGTGAAAAAGTAAGCTGTTAGTCAAACATTGCAAGAAACATAAATAAATCCTACCGGAACCAGGCTTCCGCACTTAGCAGTATGCACAACTAGCAAAGAGACAAGGGCCAGAAATGACCAAATACAGCCACTTGATTAAAGCACAACATTAATTGCAACATAATATGAGTACACATATAACAGCAATCACATAGTTCCATCATAATCAACTCAAACAAATCCCAAAATTGTTAAAATGAAGCTGACCCTTAAAAAGTATGTCAAGAAAATGTAAAGAAAACTAAAAAACGGATCCGGCCCCCGCTAGCAATTCTACATCATGTGGGTCGACCACCAGCAAAGACTGAGTAGACACACTGTTCTCCCCTCTTACTGAGCCATATATCAGTTCTTTGTTCAAGACTGTTACATCATTTCTTGTGACTTCCTTACGCAACGGCTCACCTTTTTCCTGAATTCATCCCTATTATCTCTCCATTCTTTCTACAGACATGCACAAAAATTACAAGAAAATATTGTAGTCACATCTAGAGTTTGGCAAAGGAAAAACAAATACAACTAAATTTGATTTCATTTTAACCTTTGGATTAATAGGAGAAAAAGAAATTGAAGAGAATTGTGACCTACCTATAATGCTTTTAGTAATGACTCAATATAGGACCAAAACATACACAAAGTTCAAAAACAAGACTTAAGTAATTTTTAATCCCCAAATAGGACTTGTTTAGTACTATTAAAAGAACAAATTATTAAAACTTCCTAAAAAGGAGTGAATGAGTCCTATTTTGGGAATAAAACTAGGATAGTACTATTTGTGAATTTTAACATTGTTTTAGTCCTATTTAGGGCATTTTCTCGTTTGGGTGAAAGTGCATAAGTACTTCTGGGTGCTCCAAATTACTCCTAGAAGCATTTTTTTAGATGTTGGGGGAGACTAGCTTCAGAAAAATTGATTCTGATTCTGCTTCTGCTTTTAAAAAAGAAGTAGAAGCAGATTCAACTCCAAACAGCCCCTTAGTTGTACATCATTATCTTGAGGTGAATGTCTCAGGTGTTGGGCCCCATATGCACTTGGGTGTGCCTCGCGCCCTTAATAACTATGATCCAAGCAGACCCTAAGGGTCCACTATTGATTTAGCAAACACTTTGCAGTGTGGGACTCTATGAAAAGGTTATAAGAGCATTTACAGACCCTTGCTACAGTTAGAAACAATTTACTACCACAACAACATTCAAGCCTTGTTCCTAAAAGAGTATGGGGTTGGCGAACATGAATCGGCATATGATGCAGTTAAAAACAATACATACGGAAAGAGGAAGACAAACAATATACGATCAACTCTCCACATATATGTTCTCCCTCCACTTCACACTCTCCAAAATCATACTCCCATCAAACCCTTTACTACAGTAGTATATATACTATTGTGATATTGAGAGCTGAGAAGGTAACACAGAAACTGGAGAATAGATGAATGCTATTGGTTGATTTGCTGATTAGAATCAACGGAATAAAAAATACATAAAAATCTCTATTAAAAACCAATAGTGACATATATAGAAAAACGGTTAAAACCTACCTACTTCATGGGAAAAAATACATATTAACCAGTTGATATAGAAACACTTGTTAAACTTACAGCAGCTTCCACATTTGCAGGTGATTCATCATTAGGGCTTGAAAGCATGGATATAATACTTAAAACGATACTCTCCACCTGCCATGAAAATTAAGCCCTTACTGATCACAATGGAGTGGATTAAGCAAGAAATAATTGTAATATATACACAGATAGTCACAAGAACCCAGGTAAAGACATGATAATGATAAAACCCACAAGATATCAAACCAACCAAATAAAGCACACAAGAAAGGGCATAAGACCAACTGTTTATTCATTCCCTAATGATGAAAACACATTTTGTATGAAGATGCATCACAAAAGGTTTAATTCTTAAGCAAGACCAAATGATCAATATATTCATTAATCACGTCTCGGAGAAAGGGATAATTATAGAAACTACATGCATATAAAGTTTGTATCTTTGCGCAATACACAAGAATAAACACTGTGTGAGATAGAGTAACACAAACTATTATAAAATATACAGCATAGCATAGATCTTTGAGCTTTTAAACTTTGCAGGGCTTTAAAATTAAAAGAATTGAGCAATAATATCTTGCATTAAGAAAGTTAAACTAGAAATGTGCAAAAAACAGAACATTTTTCAATATCCATTGCTGTGTGTCCTAGGTTACCTAGCATATGCTCACAAGTCACAACCGATATGAAGAAATGTGGAAAAGGAAAGATTATAGGGCCTTCAGCTAATTATTCAAGTTTCTTTTCAAACATCTCAATAGTAAGTGAAAGAAAACGAGTTCCAGACATGAATATCTCACAACTAACTTCAAAATATGCGTTAAATATTGATATATTTCCATTAAATTACAATAAAAAGAAGGAAACTTTTCCAAAATAGGAGTAAAAACAAGTTGGTTTCTCTAAATAAGAGTACAATGTTTTTCTAGGAGTAAAGTACTGTCATCTTGAAATCATACAATCTTGTTGTTGCACTATGGCATTATTAGGAATTAATATGGCACAACTTTTCATGATGACAATATTTACTCCTGTTTAAGGAGAACATAGTGTTCATATTCAGAGAAACAACATTGTTTTTTCTCTTATTTAGGGCAATTACTTTAAAAAGAAAACGATGCTAGTTGATAGAATATGTTCGTAAATATTTTGAAGCATTACATATAAAAATGAAAGACATGTGATCCATAACTGTTAATTTACATTCCTTTTGACATATCCCAACAATATCACAAGCATATCAACTAATGATAAGATCATGGAAATTTTCAAGCATAAATAATACTACGTATAATATAAAATGGGAAAAGAGCATTTGATTCCCAATAGGACAAGAGATGGTATCTTTTCAACTTAGGTCAATACCGTATGGACAGGTGACCAACGCTCACTAGCAAGTTCATAGCCATTTGGATCATCACCAGGGGGATGAAGAATTGAAATGCAAACTTTCCCATCAGCATATACTGTACATATCAACAAGATGGAACACAATGAAAATAATTACCATGGTAATCTTGAAATTAATAATTCGATTTGTAGCTTACAGACCATTTGGATGCCACACCTCTGAGGTAAATCTCACTGTGGGAGGACTATTTGGGTAATTCTGAGGAAAGCTCATAATGGCATTGAAAAAGCCCCCTTCGCTGCAATCACAATTTCAATAACACATACAGCCAGCTCGATAAATAAAACCCCAATTGAACTCTAAACACCATGAATAATTAAGAATTGAAGAGTCCTATCAATCAATTCAGGAAAACGAATCTTGGATTCTGAAGACTCACTATAAAGTATCAGGAGGCCCTATAATCGTTACGCTCCATTCGAAAAGGTTGTTTTCGTCAACCAAGCCAGCTGAGAACCCATCAACGGGGTTTTTGCAGAGATCTACAAGAAAACCAACGATCTCGGAGTAAAATCGAACAACAAGAAGTACACAAGGTTCAATTGCAATCGAGAATCCGGAAATGGACAAGAATCAAGTTACCTCTAAGCTGTTTCTGGAGAAGAAGGCTAGCCTGGGAGGGCGAAGGTGAAGCCATGTGAGAAGAGAGGGTTTAGAATGAGAGAGGAAGAGAGAAGGTTCCTCTGCTCTAGGGTGCCGAAAGAGACGCTTGAAATGGGAAATCAATGATTTATAGAAGAGGATGAGGCGTCTTAACCATTTCAATGTGTCCTTACTGGCTTCTGCCTTACTGCTTACATAGGAATATGTGATTTGGGCCACGGGAGATGAATGAATGAAGATATAAAAAAGTTTCTCTGCTTAGTCAAAAGCCTCTCCTCTCTGATTTTGATTCCAATCAAATCAAATTGCCAAAACACTAGGCCAGAGCCTAGTAGCAGAACTAAGTGGACTCAAATTACATTTTTAAGGTTAATGTGAGACACAACCCACACGGGTAGCTCAGTTGGCCGAGTGGTGGGAGATTTGGAACAATGGACCAAGGTTCGAATCCCCGCAGCGACCGGGTGGAGGTCACAAAACCTGAAATAAGGCTAGGTCTCTGGTGCGCACGGGTGTATGGGCCTACTGTCATTCTGCTGACTGAGTCACCGTGACTAACCTCTCCACCATCCTGTCGGGTCGGGGTGGGGGCTCCTGGAGTGGGAGATTCCACCTTTTGGAACAAAGGTTAATGTGAGACATAGATTTCAACAAAAAACTCTTTCTACACGCTCAAATCTATACATGTATATACACTGTTTAAGCAATAATCTGATAAGCTAGAACTAATTTAAAAAGGAAATGACATGTAGATCGGGTTTCGTACAAGAACAATAAGAATGATGACAAGTGAGCAAATAAGAGTGTAATTTCGCGTGTAATGCCAATAAGTAGTTGGTTGATCACAATTGGAGTCATCCTTATTTATAGGAGTTGTAATTAACTCTCTGGACCGTTTCGTCCGTTATTGACGAGTTGGTTTGAAGACTTTGTCCATTATGACGATTTCAAATCTGTCATAAAGGTTGGTCAACTACAATTAATATCTTTCTTAATTACATTAAAGAGTCTAATAATACATAAAAATGTTACAATAAATCATTTAGCCTTGTGAATGCACTGATGCACCATCAACTCATGCGGTCAACTCTTTTAAATGTAACATAAACTGTCAAATTCTTGCTCTAACAATTGCTCCTTTTCGAGAAATAGACGCATGTGATGCATGAATCGAACCTTTAAGCGGCAATTTGTCGAAATTTTGAAAGAGCTTATACTTGCATCTTGGTTCATTGCGCCTATTGACTTGTCGTGACGTATTGATCAACTCGTCGGACGAAATGCTTCCGTCTTCCTTTCAAGTATCTCCCGATTGAATCTGTCCCCTTGACTAAAACAATGACGAATGAAAACTGACATCTTATCTTCTTTCCTTCAAGATTGTGTCCATGACTATATGAGAATGAATTGGAACTTCGCCCACAGCGATGTTGACACTTCGGTCGGCAAAGGGAACTTCGTCTGTTGCTAAAGATGATGAGCTGGGTTGCACGAATGTAATCAATATCCTTCAAAAACTTTGAATATTATTTCATTTGTAGTTTTAGCAATATTCTCGACATCAATGTTTATGATTTATGTCAATGTCGTTCGTATTGTCTCCTTATGTTTCAGAGCTTTTCGTTATCATGCTCTTGGAGCACATGCTTCTCTTGTGTATTTCTGTACTTTGGCCGAAACATTGCGGAGAACCGGTGGTGTTTTCATGTTTAGCGTACATTGCAATTGTCTAAGAGCCCGGTCGCCTTTCTTCCCCTAAGATTTTGTAAGCCCCGTCAATTGTATTTTGACATTTTTGTAAGGCTTTGTTTGATGTATCTTAGGATTCTGTCATCGTCAGTTGTTGATTGTACCTGTGTAAAACGGATTTGCCAAAGCTGGCCGTTGGCTATGAGCTAACAATCCTCTAATGCTTAAGTTAGTAAATAATTGTCTGATAAGTTTAAATATTGTGAGGTGATTAAAAATGAAAGAGTTTGAGGTGTATCACATTCCAATTTCTGGGAACTTGTTTACCGTTTATTGATTCTGCCCCGTGTCCGACGACTTCAATGATCTTGTATGGCCCTTCCCAATTTGGACTAAATTTGTCATTTGCTTCACTTCGAAATGCACGTCTAAGAACCCAGTCGCCTTTCTTGAATACTTTTGCTCTGACGTTCTTTTTGTAACTTTTGCCCACTGCTTGTTGATATGCCTGCATGCTAATCTTGACATATTCTCGCAACTCGTCAATAGTGTCTAAGTCATGAATCAGTTCCACATTGTTTCTCTCCTCAATGACAAGTCCATATCTTGAGGTTGGGACCTCAACTTCAACCGGAATGACCGACTCACAACCATAGACCAAGGAGGAAGGGTTTGTCAAGTACAATTTCTAGGTGTTGTCATGTCTGCCCATAAGATTAATGGCAACTCTTCAACCCATTTTCCCTGTGCACTTTCCAACCTTTTCTTTAGGTTGGACACAATGATCTTGTTGTTAGACTCGACTTGTCCATTTGACTGTGGGTATCTTGGAGTTGACGTTTCAAGTTCGATGTTGTACATTTCACAAAATCATCTTATTTTCAAAAAATCATCTTAAATGATGGACTCGTGTCCTTCCTTTTCGAGCTTTTAGGAGAACCATCTTAGACTGATCAAAGACTTACCAGGTTCTCAACAAGAAACTAACTCTCATGCATACCTCTGTTTGAGGCAAGTCGAAGCACTGATAGCACTCGAGCTAGCCTACGACTAGAGGTTCATCATTTGAGTAAATCTTCTAAGTTTACTTCGTTGTTGGCTTCACTCAAGACATCGCATACTGATAGTATAAACAAAGTGTATGCATGTCATTTTTTCTTATGTCAAATCTCTTGTATTGAAATCTTTTGATATTACTTGTATACGAAGATCTATTATGCTCGACTCAACGTAAAGTTGATTCTTCTTGATGTCTTTTTTTTAACCCGGAATGCCAACCACCAAAATCAGTGGGGCAAATGTCGGGGAACATTTGCCGAGTTTTATTAAGAATAATAAAAAGTACAAAAGAAAGGGGGCTAGGCCAATACCTTTCTATAAGAAGCAAACTCCTTCGAAATACAATTTACGAAAGAAAGAAAAAAGAAACTGCAATTGGGGGGCTATACCTGACCCAATTGAAAAATACAAACCAAATAAAGTTTACCATCTAATAGAAGGAATGCTAAATTTATCCATATAAAAAGCTCTCTTGGCCCGGATCAGAAGCCCAGAAGGACTTAGAAATTTTTTAATTGGGCCCATATGTTCCCAGGACAAAAAATGCGCAGTCCAATTGCCTTCTCTCATAACATGTCCGAACTTCAGGTTATTCCTCAACACTTTCAGTCTGGTTTCCTGAATTAGGTCAGACCATCGCCTTGCCTCTCCTTCGCGTATCATTGCCAAGGTCAAGCTGGAATCGGATTCCACCTGAAATCCAGCAAATCCATCCTCCACCGCTCTATGTATGCCCTCAGCCATCGCCTTAAGTTCAGCTTCAACTGGCGAGGAAGCAACAATCGACAAGCTAGCTGCCCAAATCAACTCACCAGATGAGTTTCGAAGCACATCACCTCCAAAAGCATCAGCAGCTAAGTATTTTTCATCCACATTCAATTTAAGATGTGTATTGGGTTTCCTCCAACGAATAATCTGAATGGAATTGCCTCTAGCTGTGAAATTAGGCGAGATAAGTTGTTCCTCCTTTAAGATGTTATTCAACGTGTTGTTTTGCATTTTGGGAAAAGACCAACCCCAATCTCTAGTGTAGATTTGAATTTGAGCGATAATACCATTAGCACTAGGTACACTGCTCCCTGATAAATTCCCCCAAACAATATTAGTATATGTTTTCCAAACCTGCCAACAAATAATACTGCCATATTGTGTTTGAAAATATCCATCACAGGTTTAGATCCCGCTTTCAGCCACCAACTTCTAAAAATAAGATGAATGTTGCCATTGGCAGGGATAGGAATGCCAAAAAAAATCATAAAATGATGCCAGATAGGCTTCACAGTGTCACGGTGATAAAAAAGATGCTCCATGTTATCAGTGTGTTTTCTACACATAACACACATAGAAGGTTCAATTATCAGGCCAAACCTCTGGAGTTTTTCTGATGTTGGAATAAGCCCCTTGGCAATCTTCCATTGGAGGAGTTTTACCTTATGTTCTTGCTGAGGATGCCAAATGTGTTTATAGGTAAAGGTAGGAACATGTTTAGCCCTTACTTCTTCATATGCTGATTTAAAAGTATACTGACCTTTTACCTCTTCATTCCAGATCAGTGTCCCATCTTCATCAACTGAGCACAAGTCAGTAGCTGCTTCATTGATACTACAAATCCTTCTCCAAATATCTGAATCATATACCTTAGGTAACATATTCTCACCCCTTGGATATCTGCCTCTAATAAATTCATCCCAAAGAGACTCACAAGTCCTCCATTTCCACCAAATTTTGAGTGCAAAAGACTTGTCAATGTGATATAAGGATCTAATTCCCAGACCACCTTCCTCAGTAGGATAACATAGACTTTCCCAATTGGCCCAATAATACTTCTTCCTATCATCCTTAGAACCCCAAAAAAAGGAGGCCATTTTACTATTCAGAATCCTAACCACCTTTTCAGGAAGAGAGTCAACTGCCATGATATGAAGTGGCAAAGTATTAAGCACATATCTGATAAGAACAAGCCTTCCTCCTTGTGACAAAAACTTTTGCTTCCAAGGAGAAAGCTTACTTTCAAACTGATTAATAATGTGGCCACAATTACCAATTCTATTGATTCCTTTATGCAGTTGTACCCCTAAATATTTGACAGGAAGAGAAGCTTGCTCCATACCCAAGAGGTTTTTAATGCTATGTTGTCTGCCAGGTAAGGTCTTACCACAAACAAAAGAACTTTTACCAAAATTAACTGTCTGACCAGAAGCTCTTTGATAATCCTCCAAAAACCTTCTAAAAGCCAATAAAGATCTTGAATCTCCATTTAGAAATATAAGCAAGTCATCAGTAAACCCTAAATGATTGACTGGAAAACCCTGATTACCCATCCAGTAAGGTTTGATTTTGCCAGACTGAAAGAGGCTATTGATTCTTCTTGAGAAGGCTTCTGATGCAATTATAAACAAAAAGGGGGAGAGAGGATCCCCTTGTTTAACTCCTTTATATGGTTTAAAAAAACCATAAGGTGAACCATTAACCAAAATAGAGAAATTAGTGGCTTTAAGATTATTAGTAACCATTCTGGCAAATTGATTACTAAAACCAAACTTCAGTAAAATATCATGCAAGAACTCCCA